AGTAATAAAANTTTGGTCACCTAAGGACATTATAGGGTGTCAATATTAGTTTAATTCAACCATATAATTTTACTAGTTATTGTATGTGCCTGAAGATATAGAATAATAAATAATAAATATATTTGTATTCATATATAAAATTAAATCTCAAACATAGAGAAGAGATAAAAGAATTTAAACATCGATTTGTAGTGGGGGTGAGAGATAGTAGGCGATAGTGGTGGTGGTAGAAGACAGTAATAGTTCTGATGGTGGCGATGGTGATAGTGGTGGTGGCGGCGACAACAATGGTAGTGATGGCAAAGGTGGCGGTGGCGGTGGTGGTGGAGGGAGCGGTGGTAATGGCGACGACGGTGGTGGTGATGGCAACAACAGTGGTGGTGACGGCAATAATGGTGGTGGTGATAGCGATGACTGTGGTGGTAATGGCGGTGGTGGTGATGGCGGCGACGACGACAACGATGGTGACGATGGTGGTGGTGGAGGTGGCAGTGGTGGCGGTAGTGGCAGTGGTGGAGGTGGGGGTGGTGGCGACGTGGGGGTGGCGGTGGAGGTGGTGGCCGCGGGAGTGCCGGCAACGGCGACAATGATAGTGGAGATAATGGTGGAACGGTTAAAAAAATATTTTTTTTTTAAAGTATTGATGAGAAATAATTCTCATAAACACTTTTAAAAAATTACTCCAAACACATCCTTAGAGATTTATTTTTTCCTATTAAATTTGGAGTTTTAATATTAACCGTTAGATTAACTTTAAAGTAAAATTTAAAACAATCTCAACTGCAAATAGTAAAAATCATTTTGTTTATCTTTTGAGATTTGAATTGTAAGCTACTTTATTATATAGATTTTATCATGGATCAAGGAATTTAAGCTATGGGCAACTCTTTAATTTTTAAATAAAATTTAAAACTACAAACTTTGAAAGAATCCATAATCAATAACTTTATAATTTGAGAGATTTTACAAACCTGAGGGAGCAATTTAATAGAGGAAAATACTGACTTGGTGATGAAACTTTGCTCATTACATGTACACACACACATTTTCTCTAATACAGTCTATCTAGGACATATCAGATATGGTTATGAATATATACTAATTCGATCTGATAAAAATTTGATCTGATTAATATATACATACATATATATATATATGTGTGTGTATTGATTATTTATATTTAATCTAAAAATAATAAATTGTTGAAGTTTTTATGGAGTATTCAGATGGGATGTTCGAATAGACTTAGAGATCTATTTGCCATTCCATCCCTTGACAGGTGTATTGAAGGGAAACTCAAAATGGAGATTAAAGTTCTCCTTCAATGACGCACTTGCACATTCCCTTAGATGCTAAAGCATGTGGCTTTGGTATTTATGGTAGGGGAAAAACATGAAAACACGTGGTTTGATGCTTTTCTTTGTGCATAGCTGAAAAATATTACAAGTCCAAAGCCACCATGTGAGAATTAAGATATATAAAGTAAGGAAAATATATTGTGCAATAAGAAAAAATGAAATAAAAACAAACTAAACTATGGTAAGGAAACTTGTAAATGGATGCCCAAGTCGCAAGTAACAACCCTATTCCTGAATAAAAGAGATGGAATATCAAGTGTTAAAGTTTATATCATACATCGGGAGAGATAATAGATTCTCTCAATTTAATACATGACTATTGGTGACAGTTTCACACCTTGCCAACTAATTTTGAGGCAGTCTTTTGCACAACGATAGTCCTCGTTTGGGTAGTTCATCTCTTTTTTTGTGGGTTAATTGTAAATTATACCCCGAAAAATCGTTCGAATTTTAATTTATACATTCAAAGATCAAAAATTTTAATTTATACCCTCAAAGATACAAATTTATATCAATGTACACCCCCAAAAATTAAAAATCTCAATTTACACCCTCAAAGATTGAAATTTGTATCAATATAGACCCCTAAAGATAAAAAATCTCAATTTACACCCTCAAAAATAGAAATTTGTATCAATGTGCACCTAAAACTAAATTGATAAATTATATCTAGATCTTTTTATGCTTATCACTTAATTATTTAAACCCCTTCACATTTAAAATATTACTCTTACATCTCATAACGTTTGTGCACGTACAACACGTAACTCATTTTCGTTGATATCTGTTAATATAACCGTAACAAAATATGATTTTATCTTAATAAAAAATTATAATTTCATATTACCCTTTATTTTATGGGTCCAATATACTCTAAAATTCAAAATCAAGCTTACCATTTGAATATCTAATAGAATAAAGGGTTGCATATTAAGTGATATATTGCATTGGATATAAAAAATATTATATAAATATCTACATTCTATTGAACATTCAAATGATAAGCTTGATTTTGAACTTTAGAGCATATCGGACCCACAAAATAAAGGGTAATATAAAATTATAATTTTTTATTAGGATAAAATCATATTTTTTAACGGTTATATTAACCGATATCAACGAAAAAATGTTACGTGTTACACGTGCACAAACGTTATGAGATGTAGGAGTAATATTCTAAATGTGAAGAGGTCCAAGTAATTAAGTGACAACTATAAGGGGATCTAAGTATAATTTATCAAATTTAGTTTTAGGTGCACCTTGATACAAATTTCTATTTTTGAGGGTACAAATTAAGATTTTTAATCTTTAGGGGTGTACATTGATACAAATTCTATCTTTGAGGGGACAAATTGAGATTTTTTATTTTTAGGAGTGCGTATTGATACAAATTTCTATCTTCAAGGGTATAAATTAAAATTTTTGATCTTTAGAAATCTAAATTAAAATTTAAACTATCATTTAGGGTGCAACTTACAATTAATCCTTTTTTTTTT